AGGGTGCAGGAACAGGCTGTTCCTTAAGCTTGATTTTACTTACTGTTAGTTAATATTAAGTTGATAATGCTGCACCACTGAATGACTTTTTCCCATTTTATTTACACACTTCAGTGTTCAAATCTAGGCTATTGCCTCTCCTGTTAATCCTCTTGGTTGAGCTTTATGTATTTAGCTCTTCAAATCTCCCTCCACCCCCCCCAATAATTTTTGTTACTGTTCTTTGAATTCCCTCCACTTTGTCAAATTTTCTGGTAATGGTAATGGCCACATTTCAGTACCCTTCAACGCAGTGACTTAGAAAAAATGCTGCTGGTCATGGGAAGAGGCTCTTAGTCTCTTCCTTATTGGGCAACTTTTCTGCTCTAAGGAATTGGAAATGTTCAGGTTTTTTTTCATCTTACTGGAAGTAACCACACCTGGAACAGACGTCATCGCTTAGCTATTGAAACATGCAAATTCGGAACATCCTTACTTGTATTGTAAGACAGCATGGGGCATGCTTCAACAAAGGAACTTTTGGCTTCAGGATGAACATTAGGTTTAATCTTCACAGTTATTCCTTCGATATTCTCCTCCCCCTTGATTATTTTTTCACGTCAACCATTTCAGGACCTCTTAGTATGCTTTTTTGTTTTGAATGTTTGTGGTTAATAAGTAAGCATAAATTCTTATGCAAACAAGTTTTGGCACCGAGTTGTCAGCATGTGCTGGTTTGGACTGTACAACAGTCCCTTTGGAACACTGTACCAGTGAAATTTAAATGGAGGGGGTCTTCAGAACAGCCTTTGGTGGAGACATATCCAGGTGGTTACCATCTCCAGTACCTGAAATTGGCACAGTTAGAATGTATTGACTTGGCCACCTACAGATTTGTAAGAGCTGTGCTCAAACTGCAACAGGAGGGTAGCCTGCATGGATTGATCTGAAATCTGTCCAATGGCAGTGCAGCTTGGATTTGCTGTGCTTGCAAAATGTCTGCTTCCAAACCAGGAAGTAATCATGAGTACATCGTATCACAAAGTAGGTGATCATCCTGCAGCTTCTCTTCCCACCCCCCTTTCCTATTCTGTGTGTGGTGGTGTTTGTGTGGGGCTTTTTTTTTGGGGGGGTGGGTTAGAAAATAGTCTCTACAGAAGTGTGCTAGTGTCTGCCTTTAGTTGTGGTGACATGGTCAAATTTTCCTAGTGCTTCCATTTAAAGTGTGATTTTTGCTCCAAGAGTGGATCTGTGGCGCTATATTCCAAGGGGTCCTCAGTGTCTAGTAAATGAACTGATGAAAAATACAAGACTATGTAACATTTCTTGACCATAATGCTAAGAAGCCTGCTATCAATTTATTATGCTCCCATAAGGCATGGAAAGTAAGGTCCAGGTATGTGAGAAGAGCTATTGCTCTAAAAAGACTGTCACCTTGCAGTGACTTTAGTATGCAAGGTGGATAAAAATCAATGAATTAAAAATAGTGGGTTTTTTTTGTTTGGATTTTTAAAGTAATCAGTAAAATACTAAATTTCTCATTTAAAAATGTTACAATTAAACCTTATCACAAACATGCTACACTTATTGTCTTAAATACAGACTAACATGTGCAAAGACAGACATGCCGGATTGGCTTTGTTCTGTGTTGTGGTGGTGCACCTGGGCCATGTCTGGCTGAGTTAGCAAAGGCATTGTCTAAAGACAGAGAGTCTATAAAGGAAAGGACAGAGGCAGTACAGAAAGGAGCAGTGGAGTGGAATGGAAAGAAAAAGGGAAAACAATATTCGGCACACACAGCTTTTTGTATTCCTCTACACTTCTGCCATTGGAAAACTGTCATGGCTTCTGGGTGTAGGAGACGCTATCTGGGAATATTTTAAGAAATTAGTTCCCTGTGTGAAAAAGGAAAATGTGTCAAGTGTAAGCAGTTCAGGATCTAGCTGCAAGAACTAAACAGCATGGCTGTGTCTACACTGCACCCCTTTTCCGGAAAAGGGATGCAGATGAGACAAGTCGGAATTGCAAATGAAGCGGGGGATTTAAATATCCCCTCCTTCATTTGTATAAACACGGCTGCCGCTTTTTTCCGGCTCGGGGCTTTGCCGGAGAAAAGCACCAGTCTAGACGGGATCTTTCGAAAAGCGCCAGTCTAGACGGGATCTTTCGGAAAATAAAGCCTTTTCCGAAAGATCCCTTATTCCTCTTAAAATCAGGAATAAGGGATCTTTCGGAAAAGGCTTTATTTTCCGAAAGATCCCGTCTAGACTGGCGCTTTTCCCCGACAAAGCCCCGAGCCGGAAAAAAACGGCAGCCATGTTTATACAAATGAAGCGGGGGGATATTTAAATCCCCCGCTTCATTTGCAATTCCGACTTGTCTCATCTGCATCCCTTTTCCGGAAAAGGGGTGCAGTGTAGACACAGCCCATAAGGAAAACTGCTTATTGGGAGAGAGTGATGTGATGAATTTGTGGATATGTCACGAGCAGTGTGGCTCAACTTTGCAATGCATCATTTCAAGACCCTCTGCCCTCCTCTTAGCGGAAGTATGATTTAACAAGTAAATTCCCAAATTGTTTGCGATGTTGGCTGTTGCTAGGGAAAAAAAGTTTAACTTACAGTTTGTCTAATTAGATTCAAATCCTAGTTAACTATCACCCAAGTACATAGTACAGAAAGCTGCAGTAGCAGAAATATAGAGTTGCCAGTTACCAGTGAGTGCCATTTTTATGGCGTCAGAATATTCCTTATTTTACCTCAGCATAACTCTGCTTTCGCAAAGGAACCTCATCCTATACTTGTTTCGAAGGGGCATACTCCAAAATGTAGTGCACATTAAGTACAGTCAATCTTAGCTTTTTTGGTAATCTGGGATCAGATCTGTATCAAAATGAAAGTGGGAGTGGGGAGGAAGAGAGCTCACTGTAAAAGTTTTAAGGAAACTGTACATGTAGTATTTCGAGACCTTGTCTGTTAAAGCTAATGACATTTGAAAATTTAAAAAAAGAGTTCAAGGATGGCCATCAGCCAACAACTTAAGAATTGCAAATGTGAAACACTTATGTAACATTTAAGATTTAGTTTAATGAAATAAGTGTTTTAAAAAAGAGTAGTCCTATAGCACCTTAGAGGCTAACAAATATATGTAGTATTCTGAGTGATAGTGGGTAAAACCCACTTCCTTAGGTGACTAGAGATAAATTTGGAGGCTCCCCCTTTTTTCTCTCCACTCTTTCTAACACAAAAAGGGTGCGGGGGAACCTCTGAATAGTAGTGCCAGTGCTAGTGAGGCTAATTGAGTGGGCCGTACGTGTCTCATACTTTGCTTTTGATGTCATTTGGGGGTTGAATATAACACCTCATTCAGTTCATGTCTTTTTGTTCAAGCAGTGAAAGAGAATGTCAGATTGGCATATGAAAGCCAGTTCTCCAGTCTCTCTCTGTAGTTGGTTCCTGAAATTCCTTTGTAGAAGAGTGGCTACATTTTAAATCTATTATGAGTGCCTGGGTAGGTTAGGTGGTATTGGGTATGATTTAGTTCTTAACCTTCCTTATGTATTGCTGCTATAGCAGCAGCTTGACACAGATTAGTATTATCTATTATTTCCTAAATTAATAAAAAACAAATTATCTAAAAGAATTACAGAGTATACTCTCTTAAATGTTGTATTGAGCTGAAATTTAACATGTTTTAATGATCAGATTTGCATAATTGTTTAAGAAATATGTGAAGAATCAGTGGGGAAACTTGATTTAAACCCGTTTTTTTTGGGGGGGTAATTTTAAATCCATGATTTAAATGGCCATAATTTAAAATCAATTATTTAAATCACCAAGATTTAAAATCAATCCACCCTGCTAGCGCGGTCAGCGGATATACTGCTACCTAATATGGCAGAAAGGAGGAACAAGCAGCATATCCATTAGGAGACAAATGATTTGTAGAGTTTTCATGACCTCTCTAAGATGCTTTTAAAAGTAATTGGGTATGTGTAAATTCTGGTTTCATTGTCTCACAGTTTCCATGCTAAAGAACTGTTCAGAACCTTATCCCAGTTCACAGCAGTACAGACACTTTAAAGCCATTGAAAGCTGTTGTAATAAAAAATTTGTAGACCTGCCATAAGCAGAAGACATTCTCCAACTCTCAGAGGAAGTGTCTGCTGCCTTAAAATCTGAAGATCATGACAATAAATGAGCTGTGTTTTGCACAGGGTTTACATCTTTAGGTTTCATAACTATCTTCTTACATAAATGCCAGAAGGATTGTTTTAGATGCCAGCATGAAGAAGGGCAGATAGGGCATCCTGAGCTTATTTATGCCATAGATCTCATGTTAGCATCCTTTTTGTCATCTTACATTCAGTTGTAATAGTCAGTATTCTTACCAGGACAACCAAAATTATTAGGAGGCTGGAGCACATGACCTATGAGGAGAGGCTCAGGGATTTGGGCTTATTTAGAAGAGAAGAATGAGGGGGGATTTGATAGCAGCCTGAAGAGAGGTTTCAGAGAGGATGGAGAGAGGCTGTTCTCAGTGGTGATGGATGGCAGAACAAGGCGCAATGGTCTCAAGTTACAGTGGGGGAGGTGTAGGCTGGATATTAGGAAAATCTTTCACTAGGGAGGGTGGCGAAGCACTAGAATGGGTTACTTAGGGAGGTGATGGAATCTCCTCCCTAGAGATTAAGTCCAGGCTTGACAAAGCCCTGGCTAGGTATGATTTAGTCAGGGTTGGTCCTGCTTTGGGCAGGGGGCTGGACCCTATGACCTGCTGAGGTCTCTTCCAGCCCTACGATTCTATGAAATGGATCTTAAAGGAACTTAGTAGTCTCGGTCTGTTAAGCTTTTTTATCTAATTGATCCAAGGAGCCTGCAATGACTTACAAGCATGTCTCCATCACTACTGCCAAGTAATGTCTAAATAAAGATTGATAATTTGTAGCCACTCAGTCTAAACCCAATTAATGGAAAGCTCCCTTTGGATCACTGTTTCATATTGTTTAATTTCTTTAACAGATATTTCTACTCTCAAGATGGAGCCATCTCCATTTAACAGAAGACAATGGACGTCACAATCTCTGAGAATCACTGCCAAAGAACTTTCTCTGGTCAACAAGAATAAGTCCTCGGCTCTCTTGGAGAGATTCTCTAAGTAAGTGTATTGAGGATTGAGTTCAAAACCACATATGCAACATAGCCATGACCTCTTGAGAACTGAGGGTGGTGGTCCCCCATCTGTACTGCTTACCTCTTCAGAGTTCAGTTAACGCCCATCTTTTAGGTAATAGAAAACTAACAATGTGCTTCAGGCAGTTGGCAAATCATGATGCCTTAGCCATAGAATTCTAATACCCCTTTCTGGCTGCTGTTGTGAGCCCTAGTGCACCCACTCCTGTTGGAGGAGAAGGTGGTTTCATAATACGCTATTAGGCATCCATAGCTGGGGTTCAGTAATTGCCACCCATGGATTTACTCTTTCATCAGAAACAGATGTTTGCGTCCTTTGTATCAGATGTAAAGTTCACCCTAAGCCTACGCTTCTTGCAAGGCATGGTGAAGGTCAGGATCTCCTCTCACAGCTGCAGTACAATTCCAGAAGGGAAAACCATCTAGCACTGTAAAGACTAATGAGATGGTTTAATAGGTGATGAGCTTTCATGGGCCAGACCCACTTCCTCCAAATAGAAGTAGGAATGTTAAAAGTCATGTAATAGGGTAACCGCAGCAAAGCCTCCCTGGTTCCCAGAGAGGAGGCTTTGCTGCCATATCTGAAAATGTGCAGACCACAGGTGGGACCTTCAGTGTCAATTGGGCACCTAACTCCCTGAGGCTGCTTTGTAAATCCCAGTCTGTTTTCATATAGCCCAGAATCAATTTGTGCAATTGGTAGTGGGATGTATGGAAGTGTCACAGGAGAGGCTGCTCCCTGGAAGTTGTTTTAATTACCTCAGGGTTTCCCAACCTATGGGTCGGGACCCAAATATGGATCGCCATTACATTTCAAAAGGGTCGCCAAGTGTCTCCTCAGGTGGCTCTTAAGGAGCCATTCACACACTTTTTGAATTGCCCTGGGTCACCAAGTCTTCCTGAATTGTCAAAATGGGGCCCCATCTGGAAACGGTTGGGAACCGCTGAAATATCTGATCACTTCTGTTTTGTTCTTTAGAAGTGCTGAGCACAAAAAAGAAGCAGCTTGTTGTAATTGTAGTCAGTGACTCAGTCTGTTAAAACTGAGCCTGGTCAATTTACTAACCTTTAAATACCATTTTAAAGGATTACAGGAATAATCCACCACTCCACTTTAACCAAGCATGGCCTCCCTATGCCCATGAAAGCAATAGCAGAGCTATTTAGAAAAGGACACTGAAATTCCCACACCTGCTTCTCTTGTGGCTAAATCTACTGCTTTTAAAAACATTTTTTCAATCCCAAAGCACCATGCAAACAGCCTGACTCTTCTCCATTTGTTTATAAGTTTGTGACTATTACTGTTAGTGAAATGGAGGGGCTGTTGGTACAGATTTAAATCATGCATTGTGTAGACTCCTTTCCAATATTGGCATAATACCTTAGTCCTTGCCTGCAACAGCCATGTCTTCCCATCCTCTCCTTCAGTCTTCCATTATTTTTTTCAATGCACATCGCTCTTGGCCTGGAATGGGTTACCTAGGGAAGTGGTGGAATCTCCTTTCTTAGAGGTTTTTAAGTCTTGGTTTGACAAAGCCAAAGTCTTGGCTGCCAGGATTTAGTTGGGATGGTCCTGCTTTTAGCTGGGGATTGGACTCAATGACCTTCTGAAGTCTCTTCTATCCCTGTGATTCTATGAATTCTTATTGGCTGCAATTCCCAGCCTATAGGAGCTGCGAAACTGACACATAGGATAAGGGCAGCACATGAAGTCCCTCCACCTAGGAGCCTGAGGGATTTGTTGCTACTTCTGTGAGTGGCACAGAGCCAGGTAGGGAACTTGCCAGGCCTGCCAATGTGTTTTATAAGGGCCTGTTAGTGGTGTTGAAAGGAGCTGCCAGGCTCCCTTTTGACTGTATGTTTTGGTCAAAAACTGGACTCTTGGCACTCTTAACGTCATTTCATCAGCCAAGTAAAATTAGCCTTCAGATACCAGCCTGCCTGTTCCCTGCAAATCTCTCTACCTCAACCAAGCTCTTTGGCTTTTTATCTGAGAATTGGGTGACCTGCCAATGATCATGTGATCACTGACATAAAATCAGTCATGTGGCAGGCAGCTATTAGAAATAGGGCAAAGCCAGCTCACTCAAAGGGCTGCCCCACACACTCACCCACAGTCAGTGTGTTTTCTCCTGTATATCTTTGTTTCCTATCTAGTAGGAGGCAGAGCAGCAGGGGACTCCCGCTGTTTGTTGCTCCCTTCAGTTCTGTGCCTGGCATGGAGGAGCTATGTTGAGAAGATAAGCTTGGTAGCACAGAACACCCTGATTCCCAAAGACTTGGGCCAGCATAACTACATCAGCACAGGCTAGCACTTGTGTGGTTTTCTTCTGTCCTGCAGAATGGAAGCTACTTGAATGGATTGGGAATATGTGAGCAACCCAGATTTCCTGTTCTGAGGGCATGTCTTTGCTGTGGGATGGCTCAACAGGGTAGCTATTGATCTAGCGGGGGGGGCGGGGTGTCAGTTTATCACATCTGGTATAGATGGAGCTGTCCCATCCATAGGACAGTTTGGAGTGGCCGCCCCAGCCTTGCAATTTGGGGGTCCATGCAACAGCTGCTTTGACCGTCTTATGGATGGGACCCATAGGGCCTCCCAAAGCACTAAACCTGCGGCAGCTCTAACCCCAAGGCAACTCCGCTTGCTGTCACCACAGTGAAATGGAGCTCTGCGGGCTGGTAGATGGATGGTGGATCGGACTGTTGGGTCACTCCAGCTCCTGTGTAGGGGCAAACCCTGCTGCTGCCCTGTGCCAGGCCACCTGGTAATCTCATGTTACTCTGGAGGAGGGGGTTTCAAGCATGGAATGTAATGGGAGGGCCAGAGGAGGTGGAGCAGCAGCATTGCTAGGAAAAAGGGATGGAATAAAGGTGAGGCAAGAACAAAGCACAGATGTGATAAATCGAACGCAGATGACTCTCCCAGGGTATGTCTACACTACCCCGCTAGTTCGAACTAGCGGGGTAGTGTAGACATACCCTCAGAGGAGGGGGTTTCAAGCATGGAATGTAATGGGAGGGCCAGAGGAGGTGGAGCAGCAGCATTGCTAGGAAAAAGGGATGGAATAAAGGTGAGGCAAGAACAAAGCACAGATGTGATAAATCGAACGCAGATGACTCTCCCAGGGTATGTCTACACTACCCCGCTAGTTCGAACTAGCGGGGTAGTGTAGACATACCCTCAGTGCTAATGAAGCCCGGGATTTGAATTTCCCGGGCTTCATTAGCATAAGCGGGG